TCTAGGGGTAGGAGAGTTGGTAAGTGATAGTTAAGTGATGGCGGTGGTGGTCAGTAGTAGTGGTGTGAGTGGCAAAGTAGTGATAGTGTTTGAACAGCGCACTTTCGTTGCGTATTTTTTTTTTTATCTCAGGATCGACTTTACGGCGACTGCGCGCCGAGAGCTCTCGTTTATATATATATTTACAATCGTGCGTGTGCTTCGGTGGTATATCTAGTTCAGCGTGATCTCTCTCTCCCTCTCTCTCTCTCCCTCTCTCTCTCTCTCTCTCTCTCTCTCTCTCTCTCTCTCTCTCCCTGAACATTAGGTCCCTTCCGCAGGAAATCGCCGTCGATCTCGTAGACGGAACGGAGTCCATTCTTTATATATAGATGTATTCGTCACTTACGTGGACTACATACGTTTGCTCCACATTTCTGTCTGTTCGGGCCGTAAAATAAAATTCACGCAGCTTCTTGATAAATGATATTTGCGGACCGCCGTTTTAACGGTTCTTATTTATTACGTGCACGTATGTAATCCACGGGAAATTTTTATTTGACAGCGACAGAGTGTAGAAAGAGGATACGTCGTGTGTGGTTTAGTTATTCGTGGCAGGTACGTGCGCACGGTCATTATTCGTATTCATTGTCGAATGACCGGGCGACCTTTCGAGAAATCACGCGTTCAGCTAAGACCGACGTGACGACTCACGGTCAGCGGCAGCTTGGTAAAGTGGAGACCCTTTCGGAGGATGCTCGTAAATACGTTCGCATACGGTCTTTGCGTAGGATGTGACAAAGCGTGTCCTGTAAACGTATTGGTAATTGGATTTGATATGTATCGCTTTTTTTTTATAGAAGCTACCTCACGAGGAATTCAAATCTTCGCTTTTTTGCCGTGAAAGTCGCAGTCGTTTCGTGTCGACGAGCGTATGCTATAACGATATGTGATCTGCTGTGTGATCTGAGATTACTGCAAATTGCACGTCTGCTCTCTCATCCTTGGTTACGGTACGATTGTACATCCCACGAAATGGATTCAGTGAAACATGAGAGTGAGATAAGATGAGAGTAATTTTACTTTCTGTCCGTATATTGAAAGACCGTGAGAAATTGGCGATTGCAAAAATACTCGTGAACTAGTACCCTTGTTCAACATCGTGGAAATACAAAATCGATACGTTGAGAGGAAATAATATCTCGTTTAATGGCTAAGTTAAGAGCGAAACGATGTTCGTGACCCGACACTTCTCTATCCGAAACTAATCAAGAAACTCTCCAGAGTTCTACAAATTTGGTGCCTTTCTGCCTTTTCTTTTTATAGATCCCATCGGCCGCGATACGTTTTCAGGCAGAATTCGCGCGCAGAAACGTCCATCAAATCGAATTGACGATTAAAAATAGAAACCAAGAGTTTGGGCCAATCACGGAGCTGAACCATCTGAGAACTGCGATCGTAATATTATTAGCTTATATCTTTTGACAGTTTCTAAGAGCGAAAAATGTATATGTGAAATGTTCTTAAAAGCCCCTCACAGAAAACAATGTTAAATGAAATCGATCTAATGATTTATGGCACAAAGCTATTGATATTTATCTTCCTAATGATCGATTTTATTGACATCGGTTAACTTTAACCATAGTTTGGTTGTCTGTTTACTTCTTCGCGAAAACTTGAGTTAGAAAACGACAAAGATTCGGGCGAACTCAAATAAAAGTTAATGAAAGCCTGTAAATCTCTGGAATCATCTCGAAAGTTTAGCGATTTGCGAGAGCATTCTCCTGTAATTCGTGATGGGAATGTATCGCGACAACTTATAACGATCGCAATAACTCGTATTCGAGCAGTCCGGCCAATTAAGGACGAAAGGGGCGCCTGCGAAAGTCCGAGCTTTCTACTCGACGAAACTAATCGACCAACTTGGTCGGCTCCCTGCGGTATCTCGTATGCCGGACTTCCGGTGACCCTTCGACCCTATTCCTCCGACCGACTGAGTTTTAATATAGATCTTTTAGCGGGGGCGAGTTCAAGTCAAACTTTTTCCATCATCCTGTATAAATCAGCGAGATTGAACGTCTCTGTGTGCCTGGAACGACCGAAGACGTTAAATGGAAAGCACGCAATTATATACGTTGATCACTTTCGATATCTCGAAATTTTGCTCTTACAAATCTTGCACTTGCAAATCTCTGCGAATACGTTACGAATATGATTGTTACTATATGTGATAATTTATTCATATTTCTAATTATTCATTATATGTAAGCATCGTATTAATATGCTGATTTGGAGCTAACCGTATCGTGATGACTTATTCAGGCAATTCACGCAGTACATGTGCTATCGTGTGCACGAAATATTAATGCCGGTATGAACAACGATCATATATTTCGCGACGTAAACACATATGAATAAATGGTGAAACGATTCTAAAAGGGCTAAAACGCTTGAAATTCTCTTTTCTCTTTGCATATCAACACGTCGTGCAATTTGCAGCAATGACGACACTCAACACGGGCTCGTGACAGTGAAACGTTAGCGCTATCACACATCGACGCACACACAAACACACACACACACACACACACACACACACACATACACACGCACGCCTATACTCACACTTATACTCATACTACATTCAAACTCACACACACACACACACACACACGTGATAATCTTCTCGCATGTGTCTTCGCGCATTGGGATGTTCCCACCGCGCATCATAGCTCCTGTTCAACCTACGATTTCTATGCTTATAGTCTAATAGAACGACTCGATTAACCGAGACGTGTCTCGATGACTCAGTTGCGTATACAGTGCGCGCATCGATACAGTGGCCGTTGTTACGGCGCATCGAAGCTCCTTCTTAAGATGCTTACTGACCGCACACTGTGCTCAGTAGCAGAATCGAGCTTTTATTGTTAAATCGCGAAATGTGAAACAAAGGAAAATGAGATTGCATACTTTTCAGATTATTGATTTGTGAGTGTATCATCATTAATCGTAAAGAGAATCATGTTTTCTCTCTTTTTTAGAATTCATTAAAGAAGAAAGAATTTGTCGGATTTGATATTAAAAATGTCGTATGTGTTCGCTTTTTTTTCGTTCATTGGCTTCCGCGCGCGTTTTTTGCGATAGAGAAAAAAGTGAAGAGGAAGAGACTGCAATAAATGCTCGACTCTGCAATTCCATGTTGTTACATACGTACAATCACTGTGTATGGAATAAAAAAAAAAGAAACCCAACCAGTGTGTGAGCGAGAGCGGGTGAGTGAGCGAGTGAGTGAACGAGGTGAATGGGAGTGATTCTCACTTGTGTGGCTGACTGATCGTGTGAGTGAGCGTGTAAAGTGGCGAGTGACGGACAGACAGACAGACAGATAGACAGATAGAGAGGGAAAGATAGAAAAGAAAGAAGGAAGTAAAACCTGATGTCGGGAAAAAGGCGAGAGGGGAGGCAGAGACCGTTGGTAGTTGAGGGAGGAAGAAGGGAGGGAGGAAGAAATGGAGAGTGACGGGTTATGGAAGTTGACAGTATTCTCTGTGTGAACTGTGTAATAAAGGGGGAACACGAAGTTTCCTTCTTTTTTTTTAATGCTCGACGCAAATATACACAGTAGAAGCGTCTTTCTATGTCTTTATCTGAAAAAAAGGGTTCAAAGCGATGTACAATTGAATCGCATTGAATCAGCGACAATCGACTATCGATAAGGATACTTTCTGCGTATCGCTTTCGGCGTTATCCTCGAGTTACATGCACGAGTTCACACGCTGGAATTGAGCGTTCATGTTTTACAATCTGCTTCAGTGAAAAGCTTGTGTAGGGTACGGCCAATCGGATATACGGCTAATCGTGGTACTAGAGAGTAAACATTACAGACTTTTTCAGAGATACAATTGATAGTCGTTTCTCAAAGATCTCAATTTTATTTCTATCAAATTATCAAATGACTTTTAATAGTTTTATGAGATAATAGTAAGTTTATCATTCAGAGAGAAATATCTTAAAAAGATGTAACATTTTGTATGTTACATCGCAGTTACGTTGATTGACTTTTGTATTTGTTTGTTAAAAGCTTTTGGCAACAATTTTTCTCTTTCAAAATTACGTGCACGTGACGTTTCGACGATTGACGTCAAAAAGATACGCCGAGTCGATTGCCATTCTGAGAAGTAATATATTGTTGAAGTGCATAGGGAAAGTCTCTCTGACTTCCGTTTATAATATGCGCAAAAGTATGTGTATGTTAGTATGTAGAGTAGAAGTAGGCGAGGATGTCGAATTTTGTGAAATTGTATTTCGTATTTGTTTGTATGCATCTATATAATATGTATAAAGTATATGTATGTACATACGCGCGTGTGGCGTACTTACAGCTCTCGATCTCGATATGGCACAGTTGCCGGTCCATCGGGAAATACTGCAAGTTCATGGGACACGACGCTGTAATCGTTAAGCTGAAACACATTCAAGTAATGCCCGTTTAGCAATCGCTTCCCGACAAAATGTTTTATGATATACGAAATGCAGGGATTCGCAGCCAATCCATTTGCACCCGGGTAACGTTGAATCAATGTGCGGGAATTAATTCGTAGCCCGACCTCATTACGCCCGAGTCACGTCAGGATTAACGTGTAAGAACCAATCCGTATCGATTCAAACGTACCGTTAATACGCGTCTATTCTCGTCTTCGATGAGACGTATTATACGAAACGGTACAGAGAGACGTATGCATTCGCATGATTCGTACATGCAGACAGTGATCGATGACTTACGCTGAAGCAGAGAAGAATTATTCACGCAAATGAGCGGCGCGCTCGCTCGCTCGCTCGCTGCTTCATCGATATTCTTCCTCCGTTCCCGACAGCGAGCGGCTCGATTCGGCACTTCCGATCCGGAAGTCGGGGATGTAATATAATGGAACGATATTGCGCGAGGGAGTGCAAGTTAGGTATGCATGGATCGTCTGAATATAGCCGGCGCGTTAATACCAGAACACTCCCGGGTGCTCGAGTGGGGGGGGGGGAGGGGGATAGATACGAGGAATGATACGAGCTGTGTCAGGCAAGAAGGGGTGGAGGCCGCTACAGGGAACAAATTTGTCGTGCCGAGCACAATTGGTCCCAGAAGTGCCACGAATGTTCTATATGGTGATGGAGGACAATGAGCTCGATTTACAGTCGTGGTAGAAAATACCTGCTGCAGGGACGCGCTTTCCCTCGGACGGCGAAAGTAAAATCGGACGTTCAAGGATTAAATTTACTTAACTGGACTCAATACAGAAAGAAAGACCTTTTAACCTTTATCTATTGCTCGCCCGACGTAGCATATTATATATTTTCTCTCTTTTCAATTACCATCTAAATTAAGCGTCATTACGATAGAAAAAAGGAGATTCGCTCAGATGACTTTTAAACTTGGATTTATTATGAAAAAATCTAACGCTCGAAAAATATTACTATGTAAGTCAGATATATACATACCTATATATTATATATAACCGTGAAGGCTACGGATACAAATACTTTACTCACCGTATACTACGCGTGATGCTTCCCGAGTGGTGAATGCGAATGAACTCGTTGCTGGTGGTAGCGATGTGAAAGTACGACTGCTTCTCGTTGACGAAGAAGGTGTCGGGTACCCAAATGTTCTTGATGAATTCTGAACCGACGCTGAGCGTCTCGACGCCCGGTCGCGGCTTGAACGCGAGTCGTGGATCCGTCCAGAATTGTCGGAAGTAAAAATCCAACGTGAAGTCCTGGTATGACACAGGTGACTTATTAGATTGGTAGTCGTTTGTGTTCACAGACGTGTTAGAGAAATACGAGGATTCACGTAAGCCTTTTCGTACTTGATATATATATTTGTTTTTCTTGTTGTTGCTCCGCACATAAAAAACGATTTGCTGAGTTGTCGTTATTAGATATCATTAACAGCATCTTTTAAATAAAACGTTATTCTTATGCAATATGTATTGTTCTAAAAATAGAAATTTATTTATAAAAATTATGAATAAATTTAACAGTTTAATAATAAAAAATAGATACAACAATAATATAAATATAATAATATAGAATACACTAATCAAATATACATAAAGATATAAAACGTTAAAACCTTATTATTGTTTGCATTTTTAAGACAGGTATTATTCGAGAATATTATAGAAATATCGATAACTCGTAAAGTGCACTTTTCTTGTCAAATTTATTTCCAACGAATAACTTAAAGTAAAATAGCCGTTGGAAACATGGAAAAATGTTTCTCGACGTTTGCAAATCTCTTTGAGCAGAGCATACAAAGAGGCGCCAATTTGAAATGCTACGCTAGTCCTCGCTGTTCTCATAAGTCTGAGCGCATAAAATCTGAAGAGATTGAAAAGGCGTATGCGTTTCTACGCGAAGGTACGCAAGATAGTGCGAGGTTAAGTAACAATCGTGATATAATTCGGCCGTTCGCGTTTACGATGCGGCCGTCGTTTTGGACGTAACATGTCGATCGGAAGAGATATTCGTGCAGGGAGAGAGTTTTACGGGAGAAGGAACGCGATTCGGGATCGCGAACGTCGACAGGCACCTTCGAAAACTTATACGAGGCGGCTCGTCGTGGTTATCGTAATACGTAGAATCGGCCACTTAACGCTTACGTGACCCTCTTCTATCCAGACCTCCTCCGGTGTTCTACTTGACCCCACGCTGTGAAACGAGGCGAGGCTAATTCGGCGTGGCGCAGCTATAAAGTCCGAAGTTGCGACGGTAACTTCGAGAGCTTTGTAGAGCGTTCCATCATTGGGTCTCACACTCGCGAGAGCGTTTATCCTGGCTTGAGCGACGTGTGAGAGCAACTCGGACGAAAGTGATTTCGGGTAAACGTGATTGACGATCGCGCGATTCCATTACCAAATCCTCACGGTATTATATTAAATGCGAAAGTCTAACAAATGTTTATTTATTAAATTTAATTTCGTTAACAAAAAGTTTGCAAGTCCGTATATGCAACAATATATTGAACAATAAGAGAATTCAGTTTAAACGAATAAATGTCATGAATGAAATAAAATTAGATTGAAAATTTTATAATTATTCGCAGTTAATTTGCGATGTAATTGTGGAACTTTAAATTGTAGAACTTATATTTATGACACTACAGAGAAACTATAATAATAAAAGAGAATAAACGAAATAATAAAAGAAATAAACTTTAAGTTGTTGTTATAGTTGCATTGAAAATAAGTGGGAGGTGTCAAGAAATTATTTTCATCATGGAGTTGAAAATAATTTCAGCTATCATGCAAATATAATACGTTATTGCTCCGATATAAACTCGTTGGCAATGTCACGAGCTTTCTAAATTACTCCACTGCCGATTTCGTTGGGAACGTTTATTCGTATGGCTAAGGAAGTTTAAGTACTAAACCGGAAAGAGGAGAGTTGAGCGCGTTTGACTGAAATAGATGAGCAGATTTATTATCCAAAGTAGAAGTTTCTTAATCGTCCCGCTATTATAGCAAGAAATTCTGAATGGAATATGTTTAAAACTTGCTTGATGTCTACGAGGTTTCGTTGTCTTATTATATTACCGGAATTATAACAAAATTTAATAATTATTAAATTATAATTGATCAAAGATTTTAAACAAGCTTGTTTTAAACGTAGAGAGAAACTATATGGAGAAAATAAAGAAAATTACGCGTCAGACTCATTTGCGTCATTGTTAAATAATTTGTAAATCCAGGTATAGATCCACGGTTGCTACATTTTTTCAACAATTTAAACTTATTATTTTTCTAATTAGTTCGAGATATCTCCATGAGGTTATTACGTTGTAATGATTTTCTGGTAATATATTATACATGCTATATTATTTGATTTATTACTGTAATATCATATATTTGTTTCACTATCACACAATGTTCCAATTAGTTTTATATTACGGAAGCACGTTAAGAATCTAGATACAAGCCCCGCCTGTAATAGCGCACAGTTACGACGGTGGGTTAATAGTTTATAATTACGATACTAGGCGCGATTATAACTCGTAATCTTACGCGAGAACATACGCGTGACCTGCACGCCTCGTGAGCATCGAGATTCCTGCCGACGTAGGGTCGATCGCAGGACAGGAGTTTCGCGACGCGAGTATAATTCGTGTGTACACGCAAACGAGATAAGGTGTGGAGACTGTGTATGTATAGTGACTACGTATATATACATACATGTAAAACAGGTATTTTACAACGAAATCACTACGTTCAGACATGCCACGAAACTGCCATAAAATTCATGCACCGCGCGCTGTACGAGGACAGTGTTGTGTGGTGGTTAAGTAAGTATAGCGCCTTTGAAATTTCCGATCATCATCTTCGCGTATTGCTTTTATCAAAAAGTCACTGACAATGCGAATATTAATTTAATACTTGTGAATAATTTCTTCTTTTTCTTCGTCGACACAAAGCAAACGATGTATTTGAGTAGCGACGAATAATAGAACAGTGCAGAAACTTCCTATTATTTCTGAATTGAATTTTTTGTGAATCTCGTGATTCACAATTAAAAATATAGAGAATTATAAGTATGTTGTAAAAAAAACATATAAGATTTAATTTGGATAATAAGATTAATTGTTTTTATTTGGAAATTATATTCATATTTCCATTTTTTGCTTTTATTTTGTTTGCTCATCTTTTTTCGCTTGATATTTGATCAGCAATGATGCTGGCAACCACGTTTTTACGATAATTATTAGCGAAGTTCTTATAACTATCAGCGGGCGTAAAATTGCAAAAAAATTTAGAGATCGAACTTTGGGAATAAAGTTCGGAATTTTATAACTCCAATAAGATGTCACAGGTCTCCGTGACAAGAGGGAGGCTCTTCGACCCGAGGCGAGGCTTGTCATCCTCTTCGACGACGTGTGCGCGCATACGCGAAGACTTTTTCTGTCATTCACATCGCGTCGTTATGAAGTATTCATTGTGGGTGGCACGTTTCCCGGCTTATTCTGTCGTACATTTATTTTAGAAATTTTACCGTCAATTGTGCTTCGCGATTAATTGAAGTCTCACATAAAGAAGCGAACAATTACGATTTTATTTTGCAAATAACCATGAAAGATAAGTGATAATTTATATACCGATTTAATTGTATCAGATTGTTAATAGTACATGTAACATTTTTTAGAGATTTAAAATATAGCGTACGATAAGTAATTAATCTCGCGGTTTAAACGCGCGCAAATGCCCGGGCGAATATGAAAGACCTTGAAATATCCCGTGGAAATGCCATATGAAACGGAAGTTGTCATCGTTCGCGTTTCTGGCAACTTTTCAGGCGCACTGCGGTTACGTCGTGACGTGTAATTGCCGCGTTAACAAATCTTCGGATATGATTAACTGATCAACAACTCCCACGCAAACACATTTACAAGAATTCATCGCCAAATTCTGATTCTTTTGGCTTATTACAGTTCCCATTTTTCGTTTCTTTCCATTTTTCATATGTGTAAATTATCAATTTGCCCTCAATACAAACCATTTGTCTTTTTTACTTGTTAAAAAATGGCTAAGGATTGTAAATTACGTTACTGTGAAACAAAACATCAATTGGGAAATATTTCTTTCTTTCTCTTTTAGAGGAAATTAAAAGATATTAATGGCTGCTACTATGTTTGGAAACGATAGAATTTATTTGTTAGCAAAGTATCGTGTAATCAATACGTCTCGTAAAGTATCGAAACGTTTAGGTGTAAACTGTATTTGTTCGTTGTTTAACTGCACGTGAAAATATTTCTCACGCTTATCTCGACGGCACGCAAATCTTGCGCGGTGTATTCGGGTGTGAATCGAGCAGTTCGAGCGGGTACGTGCGTCTCGTTGTCGGTGAAACATTTCCGGGAGGAATGCGAGCAGGTGTGCGCAAGCATCTCTATCACACGCAAATCGTAGCGTAAAAAACAAAGAACAAGAGAAAAGCTTGGTGGAAGCATTTCAGGCAAAAGCTCGCAGGCCAATCGATCTAAAAAAAAGTGAGTGAGAGAGAGAGAGAGAGAGTGAGAGAGAGAGAGAGAAAAGAATGAAAAAAAAATAGAAAAAACGGCGCAGCGGTGTTGTACGACAAGTGATGGAAGCGAGAGGGGCTCGTTCGAGGAGGAACGCTCCATTTCGGAGTCCATAGCACCTCGACGAGCGCGAATTACCGCGATGTGTACGCGCAAGCACATAGACTCCGTGGTTGTGTTACGCACACACATACGCACACCGAGAAGTACACACAGTACAGTAAAACGCAGGCTTTTCGCGCGCGCACAAACGCACGTGTGCACGTACACGCACACACATACACACGCGCGCATACACACATATACCACGGGCACGCGTGCGCGTGCACGTAACACGCGCTCGCGCTCGGAGAAAATCGTATATATATACAATATATAGCGTGACGTGATTCATAGCAACCAGAAGCGCACTGCACACACTGACAATGACACAGCTCATATAGGTGTCATAGTATATTTACGATATAATAGCATAGATATATACGAGATATATGCAAATACAATTATTATATTAATATATCGGTATAGTCTCGATGTAGTCGCAACGTCGCACGAGCTATACTCTTCATTTGGTATGCAATTATCTGCTGGCCGAGGATGGAGAGGGGAGGTACGGGACGAAAAGAAATATCTCGTTCTTCGAGGGCCGCGGGGCATCTTTTATCGATACTTTTTTTCATCATCCTCTCGTGCTCTCTTTCCACTCCCCGCTTTATCCTTCTTTTCTTGGTCTCGTCCGGCCGAGAGGACTATAATCAACGAGCGCATAAAGACGCTTTCACCGTATTATTCTCTCCGCCTGTATGCTCGTCGATTTTTTCGAAGGCGACCGATGAAAGGGAAGATAAATTGGTAGGAAAATAGTCTCGTTGTACGCGAATACGCCGATCGGAGTCCGAAGAGTGGCCCTCGAGGGATGGACATTGGAAGTCGCTACGCGACGAGAGGACAGGCAGGGAAACGAGACAAAAGAGACGAGGGGAAGGGGAGAATGGAAACGTAGAATGGAAACTCGCCAGCGGGTGTAAAAACTCGCGCGTCACGTCCCAGGTGACAGTGTCGACTTGATTTGGTTTCCGCACAGGGCTCAACACCTGGGGTCCAGCCTCGTGCATTCAGTTTCAAACACTCGTACACTGGATCTCGTAGACGAAACGGGATTCGACCGTGCCGTTTTCCCGCGCGCGATTACGCGTCAAATATGCACGAAAGAGGGGGGAGAGAGAGAGAGAGAGAAAGAGAGAGTCGGCCGCAAGCTCGTAGGATAGAGTCAATGCTTCGGTAAGTCAACATTACTGCCATTCTGGAATTCATCACGAACCGACAGCTCTAAAAGTTTTACCGTTACCGGGGCTTGCAGAGTCGATGAATCGTGGCGTTGCAGCACGAACCGCGTGTTATTTTCGATTCTTTTCGACCGCGTGAATACATACAGTAGCGGTTTCGGAGCCGTAGGCGATCATCCGATACCAGTTACGTCAGAATACTGGAGATTCCTGTCGACGGTTTAATTTCTGGTATAATTGTTACCGGAGCAACGGGTTAAAGGTCCACAATCTCGAAGCGCATACTTCGGGGATGCGGTCGATAGAGGATGGATCCAGTTTCGTGCCAGTTTGAAACTGATTGCCGACACCGGAACGAAAATACCTTCGATTACTACAGGATTATATGCGTAATACACAATACGTTGTACGGTGCCGCTATATATATATACCTTAAATACTGAGAAACAAATACGAATATAAATATATACGTGTATACCAATAACGCAGGATACGCGTACGTACACTTTTATGTATTTTCGTATATACAGATGCCGGCCGCATAAGAGTGTACGATCACGCGTATACGAACGTGTCTCAACGTATGTGCGGCCTACGGTGCTCGATCCGAAATTCAATTTATTGCTGCGCCAATTAATCACATTGGACATAAGATTGCGTATCGCGTTGTCGTCGATCTTCTTTACATACTTTATTTTTTTTTCTTGTATACTCGTTAGTTTGAACGACTTTCAGTAATACGCGTGCTACATTGTGTTTCAGAGAGAAGCCCGCGATGGGATTTCCGCCTCGTGGATTTTCCGGAAAGACGGTAAGTCGAGCTCGGATTTTTGATTTATATGCGATCCCCCTCGAACGGGAAAACGGTTCGCCAGCGACGCGATATCGCGAAGAGGATTTAATGCTCCCTCGCGGGATTAAAAGGTCGCGCGTTTGCCCGTCGCCATTCCGCCCTGGCGACGACGGCGATGTCCGTCTCTCCTGGAAAATTTTTCCACTTATTGCCAGATCTTCGCTCGCAGCGAACGAAACCGCCGGTTTCCTTTACCACCGGCTCGAGCACCGCGGGTAGGGCCATGCAACAAGAACATTGCAAATCGCATCAAACGACTCAACCATAAACCATAAACGAAGTGGACAAGAATATATCTTGCGAAGACTGTGGAACGTAGCAAGGTTCCCTTGTAACAGTTCAGCCAACCAAACAGCTGTGACGAGCTATAAAAACGTAGGTTAGTAGGCCATCCGTGTGTATACTATTGTCGCTTGTGTGTACCGGTATATATCTCCACGTGTACGAACGTACATGGGACGTGTGTATGTATATATATGTATAGCTTATATCTGTGTGGCTGTGTGTCGATACGCGCCCCTTGCTGCCGACATAAACATCGCTATGCACGTCGCATGTATTTCCCCTGGTGCACCTTTCCGCGACCAGATATCGGGAACGACTCGAGATTTAAGCAGATGTGAATATATACGTGCGAAGGTATCGCTGGTTTACGTTACCACTTTATATAAGACTTTATGCGCGCGAAATCAATACGTATGACGTATATATTACATATATAAAATATAAATTTCTCTTAACCGCAACGTACGCGTGTCCTGTGACTTTTCGACACACGACTTCACGAACGTGCGATTTCTTTTTATCACTATTTTGAGTCACATTCGTATAAAGCGAAATTCATCTGCCAGCGAAATTTCAACAGTCTGTATTTCGATTGGCATGGATATTTTTACATGAATATCCATGCCGTGTCGTTATATACGCGATAACTAATAAACAAACCGAAACAGACTCTATATATGCAATCGGAAGCAAGTGGCGCGACTGGTAAGCTGATTCGATCAATGATGGTGGCGTCGGTTCGACGATAGGCACGCTCGACATATGATGATCGGTCCAATTAAACGCCAGAGTTAAAAACTGCCTTTAAAGCAGTATCGACACAATTTTGGCATTACGGTCGAGCGTGCCATCGTGCTCGATGTGAAACGGCTGTGTCGGTCGGAAATGGACGTTCCCGTTGTCGCTTTTTGATACGACGGACACGAGAGGCGTGGAGGAGGGGACGGGAAGGGGGTGAGCGTGGTCGTTCGCGAGACTGGACGAAATAAATGAACGGGCAATTGTCGCGTTTGTATGAGTTTGAATGCAAACTGTACCATCAACACCTCGGACACGGAGCTGATGCTGAGGACATACATGGTGACGCCGACCTCCACGGGCGGACCTGCAATCAACAAAACCATCCGGCCTTGGTCGCTGTGATTACCCGCCAATCTCTAATCAACCGTGTACGACCTATCGTGTATACGAGATAAGTAGATATCTATAGAGACAATAGTAAAATAATAACAGTAGTAGTGACGAAAATCTATATCTTTACCTCTGACTCACGCGCGCTTTACGCGTCGCACGTTGAAATTTAGGCACCCTTTAAAAGTACTTTTAAAACAGTCGCTACAAATCGTAAGTATATTGCGTGCCGTGGCGCGTTTCGCATGTTGCGCGCGGCATGTCGATCGGAGGAATCTAAAAGCCAACGCGATGCGCAACTCCGATTATGAATATCCACATCGCATGCTCGACACGCGCGAATCGTTCGGCATTTTTTTCCCTTCCCCCTATCGTGTTTTCCGAATGAATCGGGCACATTTGCGCGCGCGCGCGCGCACACCTATCCGTGTGAGCCAGAGGCAAAGCACGAATGGACAAAGTCGAGGAGAGCTCGCACCCTGCACGGAACCAAATCAACAGGACTCGTCGTCGGCCACGTTGCCTTCCAAAGCTAGAAGAATCATCCATACTTGTCTCGTTACATAGGCATTAATGCTCTTACGAATATATATATATATATATTACATACACATCACAGCCACGTAGCAGTATGACATTACCTTACTACTACTTTTTTTTTTCGTTTTGTACCGCGTCGCTTTATAGTGGTTTTGCTTTGTCTCGTTCTCTCACCCTCTCGCACTCTCTTTCGCTCTCCGGGCACTTTTGCATCTTGTTTTTGCCGATCATCACGTCGTATTCCAATTAGACTCGTTGTAGCTATACGTGTACGTATTCCGGGAAAATATGGCTCGTTTTATATTGGTTTTTTTATTTCGCCCTATATTAGATGCGATCGAGAGCGGCGCGTCGTCTTGTCGAACGTTCGTCGAACGACATCGTTACTTTACACTGAATTGCTGTCATTGTCATTGCGGTCGTCGATTCCGGGCGAAATCCATTTATCTTTTCTTTTTAGCTTCTAGGGGGGATGTGAGGGGGATGCCTTGAATACCGAAAGAGCTGCTGGAAGGAAATTCGGACGGATAACGATCGAAGCATATCGATCGCGGATTTTATTCTCTCTCGCGTGTTCGTACACGAACGCGTGATACGTGCGGTGTTTCGACAGAGAGATGACGGAAGTGTCGGGCAGAGGGGGCGGGGGCGGGTTTCTTTCGGGGGTGGCGGGACATAGAATAATAATAATTGTAAGTGGTGGCAGGCGGCAGCCCATTTCAGCAACCGCGGCATAGCAGCTAGAGCGTCTAAAAACGGTCTAACGGGACGGTCGTGCGTGTTTAATATATTGAACAAAATACTATTTTTTCCTGAGAGCAGAAAGCAATAAAAAGACGCTCCTCATTCACGTTCTCTCTAACACTACGTGACGTTCGGGACAGCCCAGGCTCAAAGTCAGGCAGGAAATCAGTGAACTAACTTTTTCCACGCCCGCAGAAAACGAAAACGTAGTCGGAGCAACTGAAAAAATTCGTCTTGACGTTTGATTCACAGTTCTGTAGGATCTTCTTGTTTTAGGATCGATAATTTCTAATGGCGTATCGCGTCAATATAGTCTCGCGCACATGAATCACATTGAATGTCTAGTTAAGAGATATTCTCGAAATAAATCTAGTTTTCCCACGTTAAACGGAAACTATCTCGCAATAATTTAGAACAAGTCTGATTGTGCGTTTTTCCTTTTTTCTCGAGATTTAACTCGATTTGCGACCGCAGTCACGCAGTCTCGCTGCTTCCAGTTGCCGAAACTACAGCCCCGTTTCGCGAGCGAGGAACGAGGACAGCCAGTATATATTATCTGAAATATGAAATAGTACTTTGTCCATTTTTAGTATATATTTTTTGTTTTCTTTCTGTTGCTCGCTACTAAAGTGTACGTGTGTAGGTACGTGTATGTCTGTGAATGTGTATGGGAGAAATGCGTGTATAAGGTCATACACGCGCACACTCATTCCTCGGCGTCGGTGTAAACCGGTACCGCGATAAGCGGACGGGCCACATGGTACTACAATATATCAGATGAGTTAGGAGACCTCGGCTTGGTTAGCTTCATTTCGCTAGTTTCGAAGTGCAAGCGGTAAACCGCGTCGCGTAATCGCCATCGCCTGCGCGCGCGCGCGTTTGCAAAGTGCATCTTACACACGGATTAGTAAATTACTGTGACTGCATGGCGTTCTATTTCGCGTTTGTGAGCAATAAAACTACGTCTCAAGGTATATACAATTGAAATAATTTTGCTATACTGACTGAGGCAAAAGAAAATTTATATCACGAAAGAGTTAGAATAACTGGAGAAAAAATTCGCCAATGAAAACAATAACAATTGTTTTTTCTTTTCGACATTTTATTTTTCTTCCTATAAATCACTTAGTTCTCGAGTGTGTTTCAACGTCACATTCAAACATGAGATATTAAACGAAAACGTAAAGTACTGTCTAAAGTACCATCAAAATGCCGTAAAATCATACAGATTAATAGCACTCATTTCCTACGATTAATTGAGCGACAGAAATTTCGCGTATAATTACGTGTCTAGAAATCGTGAAATTTATATTACGATGAACAAACATGTGCTTTAGTATTTACTTTTTTTACGAATCTAAATGCATGGAGAAACTGAAATACAAATTTCGATCCAATAACCCGATTCGATTAAAAAACGTGAGGAACTTTTTACCACATTTAAGCGTTTATTTCATTCAAGAGACGTGCTATTCATAATATCGAAGCACGAGAAGCTGGCGGAGCACCGATTAGTTCTCTTCTGCATAGTTTGAGTTCAATTGGCCCCGGAACCACCGCGCCAAGAAATTGGACGTCGCCTCGTGTCGGCGGGCGAGGTGTCCTCGAAGCGAGCGCTGAATCGTTTCGGTAATCGTGTTATCCGATTTTCGCGGTTCCAAACGTCGTCGCGTTAAATGAACAGCGCATCAAAGGAGACACATAGCCCAGAGCGATGCGGCTCTGCGCATGGCAAGTTAACTGACTTTATCGTCGGGACGTCGATCGACGAATACACGATTATTCGACGGAATTCGACGGTACCGGTGCAATAACGACTGGCGTTGAACGTTTCTCGTGTTTCCAGTCCGATGCACCGAGGCTCGGAATTTCTTTCGTCGTGCACTAAAAACAAGGCGAACTCGATCGTAGGACTGCAATTAATCAATCGTTATGTGTACGCGTTCGGAGCGAAATTATCGCGACGATGTCGTTAGGCAATGGAGATAATTCACGCTTCAGCGAACATATTAAACATTGAGTAGTTTATTGAAGAGCCGATTCGACCGCTGAAAGTATCGCTCCAATTAGCGCGTGATTAACAACATGAACGAATTATTTGTCGAGGCGACACGAACGGCACGAGAGACGCACCCGCATAGATGCAAACGTTGATTGTTAATGCAATCAACATTGGAGTCGACCGCTAGAATCAACATGCGTTGCTCTCTCTCGTTGCCTTTGTTGATTTTCGAAATAAATCGTTTACCCATATACGTCGCGCGATGCTCAAATATCTGTTTCGTGAAGAAAAAGAGACAATGACAGAACATGTTTACATGTTTTAATAGTTACAAATACACACATAACACAAATAGAGAGTGAGAGTTTTGTTGCATGAGGTAAAAATCTTTCTGAGCTCTGTACACGCAATTGAATAATTGGAAACGATAATTGCTCCATTCGTTGTGAGGGGTGATGAAAAACAAACGGAGAAAGAATGCACACTCGTGTGCGCGTGTATGTACAACAGTGTTGAACCGGATATAACATCCGCACTCGTGTCACCGCGTGTGTGTAAGTCTCCCAGGGTGTGTCTGTGCACGTGTGGTCGGTGGGTAAAAAAAAATGCTAATTGCAATTTCAGCAACGATCAGCCGGCAATCGTTGACTTGAAAGTACACGGGCAGCTAAGAAAACGCTATGGTCGTTTGGCCGAAGAGACCGACGGGCGGGCGGGGGGAGTGGGAGGGCGGATTTGTGTTTATATAGCCGAGAACGATAGTAATGAGTAACTTTCAGCGGAATTACTGAATAAGACCTAGAGGTAGTACCATTTTCACTTCGGATAGGGAGCTGATACTCAAGACGTACATGGTGACGCCCACCTCGACGGGAGGACCTGAAATCGAAGGTTAGTAAGACTGAGTCGCCGGTTTTCGGCCGCGGCCAAGCTACACGGTGAGAGTGACTGTATGGCATTCCGTTCGTTAATTACAAATATCACATATATTTGCTTTTCTTTCTTTCGTTTTCTTTTTCGGTAGCGTTCTGTGAGTTTACTGTGAATGCGAAATGATATGTTGGTGAGGTCGCTACGTTGGATGGATCGCTGGAAAGTGGTAATCGCTTTCGATTAGACGATGTCCGATAATAATTTATGCGCTAATTTACGTGTGCTCGGTTGTCATCATAGCTACATAACGACGGTTTTGCTAATAGGCTTAATCTCTCTCTGCACAGCGCTGTGACGTGCTTTGTGTCGTACGGTTTATGTTATACGCGCCTTGGACTTAATTGAGGCGAATATTTAAGTCATATTTAAAGATGAGCTGGTATTAAGTTAAAGCATTGTAAAATTATTTACACCAAACACTTTTTTTCATCTTTTTTAATAAGATATCGCTTGATTATTCGAAAATATATTTTCTTTTCTTGTCGCAATTATTTTTAATTTTTAATAAAATTTAACGACTTTTTCAGTTAAGGCGTATCCACTAAAATACGTGACCATAAACAATCGTTTACGTTTTTCAATATGCGACGTGACATAAGCTATTTCTCCCGTAATCTTTGCGAAATCTAAATTCAAAGACCTGACGAGGGTTCGTGAAAATTTCAGTAGTCCGCGCCAGATGTGAGGCACGAAATCGAAGCTGCCGGTTGAATTGATCGGCCGCAAAGACGAAGCGGAAAAATGTAATCGCGCCCGATCAGGCGGTATCTCACCGTAGAAAAGGTTTATGGACGAAATTTCGGGCAGAGGGCGAAGGAGGGCGGGAAGTCAGGTGAAGGTGGAAAGAACCCGGTTTGTCGGGGGGAACCAGGCCGAGGGAGCGGACGGAAAAAGGGTTGGGGAATGCGAGGCGCATATACGTGTCCACGTTGGCGTTTTCGCGATAAAGTTGACTCGTAAACAACGGCTCTGCCAACGCCATCGCGCGCCACTCGACCGATATATCTTCATTTCCATTTCTAGGATGTTTTTAAAGCCCCTATAGTCGAGGAACATCCCATATGGGACACATATTTCACAATGACGTTCTCGCGACATGCTGGAAAACGCACGGCCGACGTGGTATCGAGTTAATTGAAACGCGCCAGTATGCTTTGCCTGTGCAAACCGATCGCCCATGAGAGAGCATATTCCGAAAAAAAAAAAGATTAAAAAAATATTTCAAACACATGTGTGATGCAGCTGAGAAGAACAAAAATTAATAATCATCTATCATCTATCGGATTGAAAAATCGCAGTTATCAATCCTGCGTGTGAGCCGATATATTTGCTAAACTATAAATATTTTTATGATTACATACACATGCACTTTTTTCTTTTTTTATATAATATATTTGCAACGTATATTTATAGAATAAATATAAGCACGTAATATAATACGCATATAAAGTTTTATCGTTTTTCAATTTTGGTTTGTTTGTTGGAATTCTATCCGAGTCAACGTTGTGTTTTAGCGTAGGATTTCTTTTCTAATCGCGAATGCAAAAAGTTTTTGTTTGTCATTACGACAGCCAGTTTATGGAGTGTAAACATTTCGAGTTTCCCGTCACGTATTTTGTCATTTTACGTAGGCCTTGAATGGCAGCGGCGGAGCTCGTGTTTGAAAATCCGGCTGCGCTCCAGGGAATATCCAATGAAGCACTACGAATCGAAGAGAGCGGCGGCAGGCGGCACGGTTTATCCCGTATGTCCGCGATATTCTCGTGTCCGTTTCCGTAATGTCCGCGTACCGATCTAAATTTTAAATATTAGAAACTCGTATCCCTCCGGGGATCCCCGTGTATCGATATGCGGGAGCGATGGGAGGCGCGGATATCGGCGATTCGAATCTAGACGGTACATTTAGTGCACTTTTTTTTGCGATCTGCCGATAGCAGCCTGT